TGGCACTCAAGGTAAACAGGTCATCCTCCAGTAGCACTGGATGCGCCTGCATGGGCCCACAGACATTATATCTTATACATCTGGCAATACAGATACGACATACAAGTCCTGCGCATCAGCTGAGAGGGCCACTGGCAGCTCAGAGCAGCACCGGTTTGGACGCAAAATTATCCTCCCAGGTATAAGGGGCCTGATGCAGCGGCCCATGCCTCCCCTACTCTCTCCGGTCGCGCGCTCTATGATCGACTGTGCTCGCTGCTCACTTAGCTGTGCCTAACCAAACAATGAAGGCTTACTCGCACCAGGACATTCTTGGACGTATCTGGCCGTATTCACGACCAAATTCGGTCCAAAGAGTATTAGTATTAGGGTGCATGAAACCTGAAAGGTATGAATGCATTGTTCGAGGAATAGAAACAACAAAGGGCGGCGACGGCAAAGCCGCAAAGAAACGTTGACCCTTCCCAGTTGCTAACAAGGGACCTGGCATGCATCACACACCCCATGCTGCCTTCCCCACTCTCTCCCGTCGTGCAAAAAACCATGATCGACGGTGCTCGCTGCTTTCTTAGCTGTGCCACCAGGGATACGTTCTTGGACGTATCTGGCCGTATTCACAACCAAATTCCGTCCAACACGTTTTATAACGTGTGTGAAACCTGAAAGGTATGAATGCATGGTTCAAGTAATAGAAACAACAAAAGCCGGCGATGGCAAAGAAACATTGCCCCTTCCCACTTGCTAACAAGGAACCTGGCATGCATCACACACCCCACGCTGCCTTCCATTCAACAGGTCAGTGATCCACCGCACCTGACGGCCGCAGAACTGCATTGTCATTCATACTGAGCAGTAGGGGGCATGCGCCCTACCCTTCATGGCACCTCTAGCGAACTCCGATGAGAACTACTGACAAACCTCTCTCCCTTCACATGGCTTTCCAAGGCACCTCGCTGTTTGACTCGTTTCCACCCTGCTGCCAACAAGTAGGGCTACAGAAGGTGCAGACGCCTGCCCTCTCGGGAAAAATGTCAGAAAAATGTCAGAAGCCTGGGAGTTATCGCATCGGAAACGCTCAGGGAGATATGGATCCCAAGTTAGAGAGGGACTTGACTTGATCTCTGCTACCTTGCCAGTGTGAATGAATGAGGGACCGCAAGGGGAGAAGCAAGGGAGCAGGAGATGCACGGACAAGTGGCAGAGCTGGTTTTCCACCAGTGGGATGGACAGAGAAATCGCTGCTTAAGCCCCCGAGCCACTTTTTTGCAACGCACATTTTTTTCCCACCCTCACATTCCAAACCGTCCCGTGGACAAGGCCTACCAGGTGGCCGGCAGTGACCTGTTTATCAGCAATTATATCTGTGTAACATTCAGCAAAAACAGGGCCAGGTTCAAACTTCTTCCTTTGGAAGGATAGAACACGCAACTTTTTATTCTGTTCCCTTTGGCCATATCCAGGCATGCATTGAAAAGTAGCAGATCTTACCTGGCTGCGCTCACGCTCTCCCCAACTCCTCTCCACTGCGTTGCCCGCTTCATTGATATCTCTGTCTGTCTTCATCAGGAAGCTCTTATGATGTGCCAATCATGGCCCAAAAATGAATACCATCAATCGACAGACAATTAGCTCCAATCCATGCGCGCACGGTAGCCGCTCGTAACGATTGAAAATCAATCAATCAATCACAATCAATCAATCACAATCAATCAATCAATCAATCAATCGTTCTGAAGGCTAACCGAAAAGTTGCGAAAACCAATCTCTGATGGATTTCCAACTTCATTGCTGACCAGATACGTGTCGAGCGCGATGACACTCTCCATTTTCCATTCTCCCCCCCTAGCCAGTGTAACACAGAGAAAGCATTTCAGCCTCCCATATGAGTGAATTGCATGCAGGTCTTGCAAGAATAACACGCAGCCACAATGGCTATAAAGAAGATCACAGAGGATGGACAGAGCCGAAGAAGCTGGCTAGATTCCAGCCCACGCAAATGGACAGCAAGCACGACCAGGCGCATCGACATATTTCCAACCGCCTCCCCTCAACGAGGGCTCTGAAGAACCGTGTAGTTTCTCTTCCCTCCATCGCAGATGTTCAGAATGAGACCACAATCACCAAATTTCCCTCCTGCCTGCCGAACCCCCACCAAGTGACGGTTTCGAGAGATGCAGTCCTCCCTGGGTCAAGATTTTCCAGAATCCAATAGAAAAGACATTGCTGAAACTCCTCCGAGGACGCTTTCCCTGCTCTTGCCTTTTTCTTCCATAACAACATTGCTCGAAGACCACCATCACTAGTATCATTCTTCTCATTCCCATTTCAGCTCCCTTCCCCCTTGGGCCCTTCCCTCCCTCCTCCCCACCCTCCTCCCCACCCTGCTCCCCCCCCACCTAGTGACTGCTTGGCGCCATACAATCCTCCCTTTGTCAATCCTTCCCAGCATCCAATACAATAGACACTATTGAGACTCCTCCGTGAATCCTTTCCTTACCCTTGTCTTCCTGTTCGATGAGAACATCGCTCTAAGACCTATCATCACTAGTTCGTTTCTCACCATACCCGCTCCAGCTCCCCTGCTCCTGCCTCCCTCCTTACCTCACTCATCCACACCCTTCCCCGCCCC